AACCAAATTCGCCAGAAAATCCGCCATCGATCCGACTCCACCACCCAGAGCACGCGCCGCGCTACTTCTTGCCACCAGTCCTCGGAGATCTGAACTACCGCCGCCGCCGTTCTCTACATCTCTTATCGTGGCGTTCTCCGATATTGCTAGCTCTCTTTAACTGTCGTCCCGCCGTCCTCGGGAGATCTGAAATCCCCGCCGCCGTCCTTATCGTTCGTCTGAATCGCAGCAATTTCTAATAGTCGCCGCCACCGTTCTTCTACGATTTTCCTTGTGATTGAGAAGTCCAATCTGGATGGATGAACAATCACCACCGCCAGATCTAATATGATCCATTAATTCGTTACATGTGAGTTCGAAGTACTTTCATTCAGAGACTTATAGAGGAGAGCTAATTGCTCGGCTGGAGTCGTCGATGGCGCGATTGGAAACGTTGTGTTGGAGCTGAGGTGAGAGGATGACCCATGGGCGACAAAGAGTGGGGAAAGTCAGAGCCAACAGTACTACCCTTGGTGCCCATTTTTCCTGAAACAGGATGCCGAAGATGGCTTCTTTATGGAAGGGGAAACAGGACAACCGAAGCTCATGATGTCGACGGAGTCGGCGCTGCCGCTGCGGGAGGAATCGTCGGTCGAGAGAGCGGATAGCCCGCGGAGGAGGCACGGTCGGTGCGTGAGAAGAGATGAGGTGTAAATTATTTTTTAATTTTATAATTTGACATGTCATTAGGTTAACAGTCTAGTCAGCCGTTCCGTTTGCCACATCATCAAAAAAACTGACGGAGGTAACGGAGATAGACGGTCGGTGACCAAACGTGAAACGATTCGTAAAGTTAGTGGCAAATGAGAAAGAAAAGTAATTCGGGTGGCAAATATGAAAGATTTATATAATTTGAGTGACCAAACGTGTAATTTAGTCTTTTTTGTAATTGTAAATGTAAAAAAAATGTTGCGGAGACTTCAAATCCCCACATCAGGGCTACCTTTCTGTCGAAGGACTTGTATTTTCCTACCTTTTTTAGTTTTGGCAACTTATTTATACAACTTAAACTTATCAAAGTCCTAATGCTTAGTTCGCATTAAATAGACATAGATAAATTGAGTACTATCATCAATGAAAGTAATGAAGAACCTACATCCTTCTTTAGTTAATTACCCTAAAATTCACAAATATCATAATGTACCAATTCTAATAAATCTAAATTTCTGTCAACCAACTTAGGAAATGGTTTGCTCTTCATCTTGTCTTGCACACAGATTTCACATTTATTTCTATGGTTATCACCACAAACCAAGAGACCATTTTTAGGCATATATTTCTGAGTTTTAAAGTTAGCATGCCCCAATCGATTATGCCATAAATCAAACAAAGTACTTTCTATACTATAATTAGCATAGACATCTATATAAGCAGAACCATTAACTTTATTATTATTATCATCATTGTCAATACTTAACTTAAACATATCATCAACAACATAACCTTTTCTAATAAACAGACAAACCTTGAACAGAATCATCCTATCAAATTTTAGCACAACCTTTATCCCCATCTTACAAAGCGTGAAACCCAAAACCAAGTTCTTCCTAACATCAGAAACATAAAGTACATTGGTGAGAACAGTTTTTCTTCTTGAAGTGAATAAAAGCTCCATGGTTCCTGAGCCAAAGACCTTTAAGGTGCGACGGTAACCCAACAGAACTTCGTGTCCATCCGTAGACTCGTTGTATTCCTTGAACATGGCTCTCTTGTTGCATGTGAGTAGTTGCTCCTGAATCATGCCACCAATCATTACAGGTCATGACTCCAGCCATGTGCAATTCCTTAATCATACCCACATGTAAGCCAGAAATCATTGCTACAATCTCACTATGCTCAACTTTCTCAATCACATTTGTACTTGCAGCACCCTCGTTCTAGTTCCTCTTGGGATTAGGACAGAAGCGAACAATGTGTCCCAATTGCCCACAATTGAAGCAATTTTTGGTAGACTTATGGGTCAACTTCTTCTTCTAGTTGTTGGTCAGGCTATTGAAATTGTTCATGCCTTTTTTTTTTTTTGCCTTTCTTGTTCTCAACAACATTCACTTTGGAACTTGATGGTGATTCCAAATTCATATCCTTATCACAAGTTATAGTCTCCTCTTCGATCCTCAAGTGCTTCTGAATTTGTTCCAAAGTAAAATCTTCTGACATATGAAGTTATTTCTTCCTATAGTTGTTCCATGATAGAGGCAACTTTGCAATAATTGCCCACACCAGAAATTGTTCAGGAAGAGTTATGTTCAACACAGTGAACTAAGAGACCAAGATAAGAAATTCATTAACTTGATCCATAATTGAACGCTTATCATTCATAGTAAATTCCAAGAACTGGAAAGTGACAAACTTATATGCGCCTTGTTCCTTTGATTTGTACTGATTCTTCAAATTTGTCCAGATTTTTGTTGGGATCTACAACTGGGTGTACAAATCATAGAGACGATCAGATAGAGAATTGAGGATGTATCCGCTGCACAACAGGATGTCATCATTCCTCTTCTTTCGTCCTCCCTTTAGCTCACTAGAGTCATTGTCTTGTGGTTCAGGAAGTGTTGTCCAAATTAGTATCCAATATATACACGATCTTCAAAGTAGTCAACAGAAACTTCATCTTCTCTTGCCAGCGGGTGAAACTTGTTCCATCAAACAAATTGAGCTTGTTGGAATTAGAAGCATACGCCTTCAACGTACTCTCTACTCCAGAATCCACTTTTCCAACAAATAAAAACTCTAATATTGTTAGGAATTTGGTAGGAAAGAATCGGATTGAAGGCTTGAATTAATCACTCTCCTTAGAGTGTTTACTTTCCCCAATACAAACGCTAGTAGGATTCGGCAAACCAACCTAGGTCTCCCTTCAACCAAAATCTGAAGCAGCGACTTGCCGATTTATGTGTTATGAAATAGAGAAGGAAAACAGGAAGAAGAAGGAGAACTCTCTTATATGAAAAAGAGTTATGCCAGTTACCTTAGCATTGTTATTAGGTTATTCTCATAGTTTACTATAAACATGTACTTTGGATGTCATTATCAATAGATCAAGTAGAATATTAAAAAATATCTCTCACTAACCTCTTCTAAATCCTCTCAATTCTCGACCTGTTTCTCCCCCAAATGCGCTAGCTATTCTTCCTAGTTCTTCCCAATTTTGTTCTTCAATCCCTAATCTACAATTATCTATAACTAAATTCCTATTCTCAGTTCCTAAATCTTTATCGATACGTATCCTCGCGAGTACCCAAGATCAGTCCCCAGAAACCTTAGAAAGAGGGATTCTACTTTCTAGTACATTTCTTTTCACACAAAAAAAAGTTATATTTTTGAAGAGGCACTTCCTTAAAAAAAAATGAAGTTACACTCCCTCCCCGAAAAAACACTTCCTTTCACAAAAAGAGAATATTACTTTTTTCTCCGAAAGGACACTTCCTTTCACATAAAAAAATATTAATTAATTCAAAATTTAATTAATTAATTAAACGACCAAAGACTCAATTCTTACAATTTTCTTATCCCATCAATGTGGTATTACAACTCTATTGACTAACTCTAAGACACATCTAGTTGTGGCTAAACAAACACTCTCATCGGAAAGTCGACTATTGATTGACTTTCGCACGTGGTTGTTTTTGTTCTCTGATTACTTGATCGAACAATTTTCCGTTTTGTCTATATTAAAAAAAGAGAGAGAATGATTCAAACTATGACCTCCAAACTTAACACTAATTGTATCACCATTAGACCAAACCTTAATTCATTAAAAACTCATACCGTTGCTCCATAACCAAACAACCTACTCCCATTAATTACCAAATATTCATAGAGTTCGATATAATCTCGAATGGTATTACACCAATTTACATTATCATAAAAACAAAAGGGTCATATCCTTGCCAAAGAAATTATATAACAATCACGCTCATATTGAGATCCCACAAACAACCATATCAAACAAAACAAGGAACCATAAAGTTTCCGCAATTCCACCTCATCTCATCCCATCAAATAACGCATTCGCCAAATTGGATACACAACAACTTCTGGACTTTTCCTGTACAAATTTATGATCCCCTCCACTGGCTGGTCCAATTCGGATAAACCCACATTGACTCTGCAACCCGATTAAACTATGGGGTCGTTTGGAGAATATGAGTTTAAATCTATAGATTGTCAACAATCTAAAGATTCTAACTCTTTGGATTGTTGAAAATAAATTTTAAAATGTTTATTGTTTGGTAACTGTGATTGTTAACATTCAATGAAAATAAAAATAAAAATTTTATATTACATAACATGTTTATCCTTAATAAAAAATTAGAGTAGTTCGAGAAATATTAAAAACTTTGTTAGTAAATATATTGAATATGATAAATAAATAAAAGAAAGAGAAAATGTAGGAGAAAAAAAATCTCATGAATCAAGATATAGAATCTCTCTGATTATGAGAGATTCGATATCCATAGATTTTAGGGATTTGAAATCTCTAAAGCTAAAATCCATAATACAAAAAGCAACAAAAAACATAACTTTCTACAAAATCTACGGATTCAATGAATCCACGCCCTAAATCCCGTACTCCAAACGACCCCTATATGAATTCAACCCGTAATCCGAACCGAAGTGACCTGACTCGTATTAACCTGCAGCCACATCTAGCTGGAACAAATCCTACCCACTTATCTCGCCTTGCATCGTCAGGAGTAAGATCAAAACTGCAAATTCCAACTGATAACCCAAATTGACCCAAGGCATAATGATCTGCAACTCAAAACGATCCTGCAACATCCACAACCTAAATTGACCAGAGCTAATGACCCAAACTGTCAAGGTCAACATGGATCCTTTTACATCTATTTTGAAAGGAAATACTATCCTTCCCTTCTTCTATGTCAAGCGGCCTTCTGACTGAGCAAAGCTTCCACTCTTGTGAACAATGAGAACCTACCAGTCTACCACCGAACTTTGCTCAACTTGTTTCACTTCTAGATACTTGCTCATAACCAAGTTACAAGCGAGAACAATGCCGAATGCATCAGCAGCAACAGATACACAGAGATATAATTGATTAAAGGGTAGGCTGGTTCAAATTCGAAAGTCAATAAGAAGCAAAGCTAGCACCATATCAGAGCACCAAGATGTGATACCTGCTTATGAAATCAGGTTCTAACAAAGATGATTACTTTAGACTCACAGAGATATTTGGAGTTCCCCCACATTAGAAATGAAAATTGCTGTCACCAATACGAACTTCTCATCAAACTTGCTTACCTAGGAAGACTCTGCAACCTTTCCGGCCAGAGCTGGTTAATAAAATATCTAGACAATCTAGAACCAGTAAGCAACTTCGAACAACAGAAACAGCAATCGATCTGCATATTCTGCAAGCTTGAATTTGACATATCACAATGCGAAAATGTAATCTAATCAATGATGCAAACTGAAATGTAAAGCTAAAAAAAAAGATAAGGAGACACAGGCATTAGATCAATCCTTCACATTCCCTTCATTCATTTCCTGAGGCATTGTACACAGACCACGACCCTAAAAGAATCAAGATTAGCCGATATAATACAAGGGAGACAGAGTGAACTCCACTTTGCATTATAAGCCCGAGTAACGATCAAAGAAGATCAAGGAAGAGATTTCAGTTAAAATAACAATCAAATGAAGGAAAAATGCCAATCACCTATTACCCCAATTTGCTTTTTTTTTACATAGACAAACCTCATTGGACCCGAATAAACAAACCTTCCCTTCCTCCCCACAAACTCTGCTGCCATTGATCATCAATCCACCACCACCAAAGAATCTCAAACAAAAGAATTTTACAAGATGCATTGCCCCCCACCCTCTCCAAAGAATCATCAGAAGGTAAGGCAGCTTAAAAAGAAAAACCTCATGAAGCAGAATACGGTTCATATCTATCTTTCAGTATTAGCTGCTTTCTCTTGAAAACCAAGAATCCAACAACAGCTACTTGCAAGATAGCTGCAACTCCCGCGAAAGCCAATCCGATCATCTTCCCGGCGTTCATCTTCTTGCTCTTTTTCTGTTTCTGCCGCGGCGGCGGCAGATGATGATGGTGTTCCCGTTTCTTGCGATGTTCTTGTTCCTCGCTGTCGGAGGAAGAGGAGGATTTGGATTTGCCATTACGGTCGAGCGGCGGAGACGGTGGTGGCTGTTCATAAGCTTGTTTCTCGCCTTTCAAATTAGGTGGCGGCGGCGGTGGAGGTGACGACGATTTCTTGCTTTTAGACGGCGGCGGCGGCGGCGGCGATTCAGAGCTATGATCAGACTCAACAAAGGCCGCAAAGAAGGCGGCAAAGACAACCCCAAGGATCACGACAGCCAAACATGGAGATCGAGTCTCCATGAATGTTTCCTCCCAAAAAGCGAAAACTAGCTTCCAAGTGATTTTATCTTAGCATCTGGATTCTGATCCCAAAACATTCAAAAGATCGGGACTTTCCCCCACGAATCTTCAGCTTCTCGGGACCGATTTCCTCCTAATCTGAAAGCACCCGATTCGAAGCAAATCACGCGGACCCCAAATCTCCGATTTAGGGTTCCGGCGACTGGCAGAGAGAGAGAGTAGAGATTTGATTCCTAAGATGAAGTCCTAATCAGAAATGATTTTGGACTCAAATGGTTAAAAGGGTATCGCAGGATCAGTCCCAAACCTACGATTTGGGACTCAGAAATCAAACTTGATCGAATTTTCATTCAAGGGTCGAGTAGGTAGAGGGGGAGAGAAATCGTGAGGGGGAAATTGGGGGAAAAAATCCCTTCCCTCCTCTTTCTTGGAAAATTCGAAGGGGGGGGCTCGGGAAAGAGAAGGAAAAGATCGTTTGAGGGAAAGTGAAACTGAAAAGAAGAAGAATCAACCTAACGAACCAAAAGAGCCAAAGGTAAAATTGGTGGTCGCAACACCTTAACAATGGCGGAAATATATGGCTAAATCTAGGGATCGGAAAACTGATTTCCGGGTTTGGGATTTGAGAATTTGGGGTGAGTTGTTAGTATGATTGGATTCTCTGGTTCTTTCTCTCTAGTAATAAGAGAATCTTTGAGATGGGTCTATCTGTTTTTTGGATTTTTTTCTTTCTTTTCTTTTCTGCGCGTAGTTGGAAGATGGAGAGGAGAGAGAAGACAGTTGGAGAGAGAAACGGAGGATTTCGTGGGAAAGTTTGTCTGGACACAGAAAATCAACGACCTGCAGAAGAGGAGAGAGAAAGTGAGAAACTATCTGGTGGGCTTGTTTTTGGCGGGTTTCAAGGATAAACGGGCTGGGCCGAACCCATGGGCTGATATTGGTGACGAGGTGAATAGTCTGACTGTTTTTGGTCCGGTTTTAGGATGACAAATATAAACATTCTCGTGAATACCTGTCTGAATCTGACAAAGATTAGTAGTGCTAACTGTGAAATTTAGGTAGCGCAAAACTCATTACTTAGTATGGAATATAACGAGAGTGAAGAACAAAAAAGGCTTTTGATCATCTTCCAATTACTAGCTTCTAAACTCATATTGAGCACCATGTTCGTTATTCAAGTGAATAGAGAACTTGTGATATAGAGAAACAAAGCAAGCAAATGTTAAGGAATGAATCGGGTTAAATCAAGTTACTATCTTCTCACTAATGAGTTCAATGCTCGAGTTACTCCTCCTATGTTGCCTTTTTTATTGCAGATTCTGGAAGTACTTATGGACCTTGTCGGTGTCCCCTAAGTTACGAAATTTTTCCTGGCGATTTGATCGCGACTTCCTGCCCATTTTCACAGAAGCCGGTCACCTCCACCGCTTTTGTGGGGCGAGACAATTCCAATATTCTACTTTTTGTCATGGGTAACTAAACTTTTTCTTTTAGAATTAGGGTGGTGATTAACCCATCATTTTCTTTTGATTAAATGTCATGGAAATTCCCATCTGGCTATTCGGCGGGTATTGGCGGGAGACTCTGGAAATGCCTACGGGTGGAGTGATTGGGAGGATATTCGTAGGCTTGCAGGATTTTTGAGTTTTGTCCGTGCTCGCATGTTACTCTTAAGAGTTAATAGAGCATCCTATTTTGTGGCAAAAAACGCTCTTTCATAGGAAGTTCGATTATTAGTCGACTTTCGCCTGTGGCTTTATATTGTTCTCTGACTATCTACTGAGCATTCGCTTGGTTTTGTCTATGTTTAAAAAAAAGGATTGAACAAGGACACAATATTTTTTTGTTAACCGAGTTCAACCTATTGTTCACGGGTCTTGACTCGAAGCTCACTCACTTTTAACTCTTTAAGACCTAGTTGTCTAGGCCTCTAGGGTTTTATCTTATTCATGTATAAACTCTAAGTTGTGTTCCTTTGGATGGAATTCAAACCTTTGACAAGAAAAGAGCAATATAAAATCTTCTGATGAAAACATAATTTTATTATAATTACTATGTTATTTATTAAGATATTATTATATATGGTTAGTAGTCTTTTAATCGTATTAGGTTATTATTAGAGTTTTCCTATCTCTTCTATATATATGTACTTTGTGGGTTCCATTATAATAAATAAGAATAATATTAAAAAAAGTCTCTCAAACCTTAATCTCCTTATCCTCTCAATTCTCGTTCTCAATCCCTCTAAAGGTCTAGGCCGATTCTCTATCTTCTCCCCAAATTCTCTTCTAAATCCCTAAATCTCCATCAATTCCCAATTTCTCAACCCAATCGATAGAACCCTACCAATAGGTTCCTCTCATTTGGTATCAGAGCCCCGGTTTCGAGAGCGAGTTCATCACAACTCTCAACTAGGGTCAGCTTCCTACCAATCAGGAGCCTCGATGAGTACATCACGACTCACCGTTAAAGAAATGCTAGACCAAGCTGGAGGCGACTTTCAAAGCTATATGGGTTGCGAAGGCAAAGAAGGTTGGCAGTTCGACGGACGCCCTTGCAGCAGTTCGGATGGGTACGAGACCCAAGGCATGGCCTAATGACGTCGTTTCCGCGATGATGGCAGAGACGACAGAGAAAGCGGAGATGGGGTGGTGGTCTTCATGGATACGATGAACGGAACTGCGAAGCGGGAGAACGGAGCGACGACGAGGGTCGCGAATAGGATGGCCGCTTCCTTGGTGGAATGTGCTCTGTGAAGCTCGACGAGGCAAGAGGGAGGCAGCGTCCTGTGGAGCGACGATGAGGAAGCAAGCAGGGGGTGAGTTTTCCCCAACCGACGGACGACACGGAGCCGAGGAGGTTGCCTCGTTCCAGTTGACGACAGCCGATAAGAAGAACAAAGCGGCGGGCAGCTGATCGGTTCGCCAAAGCCGCGAAGTGAGCATTTGGCCGTCGCAACGACGGCGACCGACGATGAGGCGAAAGCGGAAGCCGGCTGGACTTGCCGTCGGGAAGTCTCTTCGCCGTCGACGGAGATGCTGGATTCGAAGAAGGAGAGGGAGGAGGGTGGCGGCGAGTTCTTTCACCGCCCGAACCCTAGATCGCCAGCCTTGGGCAACAATGGCTGGGTTTGATGGGTCGCAACGAGGTTTCTGGTCCGCCGGGTCGGCTGGATTAAGCTTTGGGTCGACTCATGTAGGCCTTGGCGGGCCTAAGCTAATGGGAATAGGTGGGCCTTGTTTTGGGAAGAGGCAGACCCCATCAAGGCTCGAACCGAGGCACAAAAAGTACTGCTTCCACAGGCTTCAAGAGGTAGTTGGGTTGAGTAATGAAGGAAGCATTGAGCCCAGATTTCAAGAGAAGCTTGGGCTACCAATGAGCTATATTGTTGGATTTATTTTAGAGGAACAAAATATGAAGAAAGATGGATCTGTGGGCCTAGATGATGGGCTTAAAGAAAGACAACCCTCTGATTCTTACTTTGTATAGTTTGAAAAGGAGGGTGGAGAGTCATCTGGCCATGGTTGCGACACGAGCCACGTGGAGAGGGAAGAAGCCATTGGAGTCGAAGTTGCTGGTGTGAGATTCATTCGAGTGGTGGATCCCAATTGGAGGAAAAGGAAGCGCAAAACATGGAGCAGTCAATGCACAGATCGCGCGGGGAAATAGGGATGTCAATTTCGACCTGACCTGTTTTACCCGACCTGTATGGCCTGTTTTGGGGTGGGCATGGGTACTCTTATCGACTCGCCCTGCCCTAATCCGCCCCATTCTCGACCCGTTCTTACCTAAATTACATGTAATCTTAGTCAAATTACCTAGGATTTTTCTTTATTACATCATAATTTAGCTATAATAAAGTTTGTAAATTAGTGAAAAACCTCAATTTCTCTAATAATTTAACTACATTTATCATAATATTGTTTGTATTCTTGGTCTTATAATAAAAATAATGAATATTTCTAATATTTTTCATATAAATTGCATACTCATTGGGAACGACCTGCCCCGACCTGCGATCCGTGATAAATTACCTGACCTGAACCCGACCTGCCACGTGGCTGGTCTGGGTACCAAGAAAACCGCCTCGGACCTGCCCCATTGCCATTCCTAGCGAGAAATGAGAAGACGTGGGACGAGTTGGTCAATGTTGAGGGCAAAGTTGGTCTAAGGGGGAGGGGATGATGGAAACACAATTTATTATAATTACTATATTATTATTAGGATATTATTAGATATGGTTAGTAGTCTTCTAATCGTATTAGGTTTATTATTAGGGTTTTCCTACCTCTTCCTATATATGTACTTTGTGGGTTCATTAATAGTTAGTAAATACTCTGTTTAATATACATATATGTACCCGTACATACTTTATCCGTTTAAAACTTACGTATCAGTATTATTGTCAAGCCGTTTTGTTTTTTTCGTTCATTGGATGGCTCCCGTACTAAACCCGTATAACACGTTTAATATCCGTATTTAATAATTTAAATTGTGAACTTTACTATTATTTATAGATTTATTTATTTTTAAAATAATTACTTTTATATGTTTATTACTATGAACGTACTATTAAACGTAACTTTAGCTTAGAGATGACGTAAAATACACATACGTATTTTTTACGTAACTTTCCCGTACCGCATTTTACTAACTAAATAAGAATAATATAAAGAAATGTCTCTCAAACCCTAATCTCCCTATCCTCTCAATTCTCGTTCTCAATCCCTCTAAAGGCATAGGCCAATTCTCTATCTTCTTCCCCAAATTCTCTTCTAAATCCCGAAATCTCCATCAATTCCCAATTTTCCAACCCAATCGTGTAAACTGCATGGTGGGGTGGCGGTTTTCGAAAAAGGATTGTATTTTTATAATTTTTTTTAAACTGTATTATTTCTGGAAAAAGTCATAGATTCCTATCACCTTCTCACTCCCTCAATAGCTCATCCCAAAGAGAGAAACCTACACAAGCTTATAACACCGAAGTAATATATAGAGTG